GTTATACAGGGATTTCCGGCTCAGAGGAAAAGCCGTAACAACACACGTGAAAAATATCGTATTTTTAACGTGTGTTGATATAGCCAATTAGCTGCTTATACGTCACTCGCCTTTGGCGCCGCTCGGTCAGGTTGGTGAATGAACGGCAAAGCCTTCGCGATCTTCGCGATTCTAAATATAAGTTGTTTGTCGGAGCTTTCTCGAATTATGGTGTCTAAAACGCTATAAAATCCATATCCATATGAAGAGGGCTTTTCTTCTCAGTAAAGGGCAATTGTGTTTATATGATAAACAAAATAATACGTGGTTGCTTGTAGTTATGGAATTTCTCTTCTCGTGTTCAACTCGACCGGATATTTTGGTGTTTTACCCGCCAGAATCCGAGAAAGTTCAGACAAACTACCTTGTCGTGAATAAGAAAGCGATCTTCGCAGTAATGAACACTACTTAGGTAGTAGTGAAAAGAAGGCCTGAAAAAAAAAAAAAATTCAGGCCTGTACGGGATTTGAATCCATGACCTCTGCGATACCGGTACAGTGCTCTACCAACTGAGCTAACAAGCCAACCGGAAACTCAATACTGTGTTGGTTACAAATAAACCCGTGAAGTGGTGAATAAACGGTTGTGAATATATGGAAGTCATATATTTGAACTGCGGTTAAAGACGTGAATATGAAAGCGATCTTCGCAGTAATGAACACTACTTAGGTAGTGATGAAAAGTGTTGTGTTGAGAATCGTGAAGGCTTTGCTGTTCATTCAGCAACCTAACCGAGTGGCGCCAAAGGCGAGTGACGTGTCAGCAGCTGATTGGCTATATCAACACACGCGAAAATACAATATTTTTTCACGTGTGTTGCTAAATATCCTCGGGCTTTCCTACGGAAGCCCGAGTAATTATAGCCTTTAAATTGGAGAAGTTAAAAATGAGTCATTTAAGAGAAAAAAACATACAACTAAGAGTGTGCACGAAGCCCGTTGCTCGAGGATACAACTTATGACCTTGAAAGCAACGACAGGGGCGTTTCGAGTCGATGTCGTTTGAAATTGCGTGATTTTCCAAATTATATACCAAATTGTTCCATATTCTCAAGAATTTCGACCTATCAAGTTTTTTTACAATGGTTACTTAAAACCCTATCTCTCAGGTACCGCAAAATGAACCTTGAACTGATGAAATGACGCGAATGACAAGTGCAAGTACAGACCTAAATGGAGCTAATGCCCTGTTCACACCAATTTAAACAAGTTTCATTAAACGTAGTTTTTTCAAACATGGTTTTATAAAACATGTGTTGCTCAAGAACCGTTCACACTGCAGACTGGGTTAGGTATTGCGCAGCCTCGTTTTGATATTAATTGTTGCCAACAAAATTGAAGACGCAATCAAAATGGCGGTCAGTTTAAATCACAATATCCTGCTGTTGTTGGCGCAGTCACGGCTAAGGGAAAACCTCAGAATTACACAAAACCGACAGAGAAACGCAGAGAGATGGTTTAATCGTTATGTCCGTCGGAGACGTCTCGTTTCATCATTGTTTTTTCGTTTTTTGCTTCGATTTCTTCTCCAACATCTTCCTGTTCGCCGTATTTGGCTAAAATCCTAGTCGCAGATATTTTGGGAAGAGACTTGCCAAGATTGGGAAGAAAAGGACTGGAATGAGAATTTTCGCATGTCTAAAGAAGCATTAAATCGCCTTTGCCGAGAACTTTCGCCACATATCTCTAAAAGGGACACCAATTACAGGAAAGCCATTACAGTGCGTCATCGAGTTGCCATAACATTATATTGGCTTGCGGACACGGCTCACTTTCGAACGATCGGAAATCTATTTGGTGTCGGAAAATCCACTGTTTGTGGTATTGTGCGACAGGTATGCGAGGTGATAGTGAACGTTCTTCTTCCCAATTATATAAACGTTCCCCAAAATCAACATGAAGTCCAAGAAAAAATTGAAGGTTTTAAAAGTCGCGCGGGCTTTCCCCAGATTACGCCGTTATCTAACTACCGGTGGTTGCAGCAGTCTCATGTATAAATGAGATTTGAAAAGTAAATTGTCAATTGTGTAAATTAAAATTACTGATGGCAAACTTTGATTGTCTGTGGTATTCTTTGAAACCCCCACATTTTTTTTGTACATTTCAAACCCTGGACACCATCTGAGAACAATTAAAGATGCAGTCATTGCAAGTTTGCTATTTCACATGTGAAATAAACATTAGCACTGAAATTATGCTAAAAAATTAGGGAGTAGTTTGAAACCCATGGTGTGACATATGCTAATTTAGCCATGCATACTACATGTTCACATAAAATACTAATTTGAGTGCAAGATGTAGGCATAAAGAAGGAGGGGGACGATCTCAGCTTTTCGATCAAAGTGTTCAGTTCTGTTGTAAATTTATCAATGAGACTTAAAAGACATCATTCATATGACCCTCTCTCTCTGAACAACTGATGGAACCTCAGAAACAAATTTCATCAATTTAAAGGTGGATCAAAACTTTATTTCAAATATTAAATCAATTTTTCCAAAAGATCCTAACCACTGTGCACAAAAATATTCATTTCAGTTTCATTAATTTGCCGGAGCATTTTTTAAATACTCTGGGCCAGGTCGTTCAAAGGTGGCTTAACTTAACCCAGGGTTAGTGTGAAATTTGATTTCAAATATGAAAATTTAAAAAGAAATCCATTTTCTTTTTTTTTGTCTACAATTTGATGATTAGATAGTCTAAAAGGAATAGGGAAAATTATCCCAAAAAAGACTCCTGAATAAAGAAATGAAGAAGCTGAATCAAAATTTAACCCTGGGTTAGTGTTAATCGGCCTCTCAACAACTAGGCACTGCTGGAAAATTAAAAATAACACTTAAAGGAAAAAAACGATTTTTATTTTCTCAAAGAAAAAAAAGCATATTCAATTGAAGACAACTATAGAAGACAATTAGTTCAAGTAAAGCAAAGTTAACCAGAGCATGTCAACATCAATGATCTAAGCGTTAAGTTCATTATAGTTTTCTTTTTTTTCTTGCACCTTCTCCAACGACTGGGAATCGGCCATTAGCTTTCGTGAAACATCGTTCAACTTACAGTATAAATAAAGCCGAAAACTAAACCAACTGAAACTGTCACAAGTACGAGCGCAAATTAAATTGTTGAAGACACGAACTTTTTATTTTCGAAGTACCTGCGCCAATTTCAGTAGAAACTCCTGGTCTTCCTTCCTTCTTCTCTCCTCCCTTTCTTCTTCTCGTCTTTCACGAGCCTCCTCTGCGGCAAGAAAACTCCTATCAGCAGCTTGTTGATAGGAAACAAATGCCTCCAACGCCTTGTCAATTTGTATTAAGGCATCCGTCGTTGACACCTTCCGCTTCTTCGTAGCGGGTTTGAAAAATGGCTTGCCAACATCTGTTGTTCTTTCTGTGAAGGAATACAAGAAATCTTTAAAGGCAGAAGTTAAAGTCGAGAATAAATCATGAATGAATCATGTGGAAGGCTGTTTGAGCCAATACTTATCTCAATATTTTTGTTCAACTCTACTCATCTTGGAAGTAAAATTATCAAGAAATTTTGTTAGAGATTACAGACAACGTAGGCGCCGATATTGAAACATTTTCTTGGCCTATTGTCTGACCCCCCAATCAGCGAAAGTTTTTAAAGCTCACCTGTCAAACATTCACCCTTGTTTGGTTGAGGAAATTTGCCGGCTGTTTTGTTGTTGCTGCCGACGCTGGTGCCGCCGCTGAAGGAAGGCAACTCTTCGTTTGGTTCATCGTTCTCAATTTTTTCATTGTCTTCTTCTTCGTTGTCCGCCTCAATGATAATTTTTGAAGAATTTACCACAACCTTCGGTTTGGTACATGGTTTTTTTAAGAGAAATTCATTGACTTCGTCGAAAAACGCCGGCTTCCTCTTTGGAGTCCCGTTTCCGGTCTTCTCGCATTCGTCTTTGTAGGAGCGATACGCACTTACTAATGTGTGTACTCTTGTTTTGCAGGCATCTTCATCACGGTCTTCGTAGCCTGCCGCTCGAATAAAATCACTTATTTCTTGCCATATAGGCCTCTTTCTGGTTCAAGATATTAACTTCATTTGTATATTTTCGTCCCCCCACTTCTGTAGTAACAATAACGTTTCCTGATTTTCCCAAATCCTTCCGCGGGTTTTTTTGGCAACCGCCATCTTTAATGTGTTTAGTTAAACACGAAAGTTAAACAACCTCATTTCGGTAGTTTTATTAAACACGGTTTTAAACATGTTTGGTTACACGCGCCCGCGGTATGAACAGGTATTTTAATAAAACCAGTTTAGTAAAACAAGATTTAAACATGTTTAAGCTTTGGTGTGAATGGGGTATAAGTTTGGTCCATCGTATTTCTTAAACAAGCACGGAGACCTATTTTTTTTGTTTTTCGACACGGACATTGATTGGGAACATTAAAGGAAAGTTCAAGAAAAATTGGTCGATAACTTTTTTTTTCTGAGGAAAAAGCCTGAAACGGATGTGAGATGGATGATGCGTAAAATTGTCACAGAATGGCTGTGCAGTATGTACCTCGCGATAGATTCATGACGCAGTTATGGAGGGCGCAAGGAAAAGACACTACGTTCTTACGTCATCCGTCTCGGTCACGACAACGTGGGTGGGCAAGGAATGACTTTCACTCGCAATGAGCAGCAAATGAGGCTCTTTAAGACAACAACGACATCAGAAAGAATAACTTGAGAAAAAAATGGCTTTCCTAATCGATACGTAATTTATGTTCCTTGTTCCTTACGTTTTTCTACACTGACCGCATGAAACATCCACATAAGAGACTTCGTTTTCTGCAATTTCTTGATCTCCCCATTTACGCCACTTTACCTGACGTCACGTCACATCACATCTGCCTCGTCTCTATGATCTCTTCGTCAATCACAAGCTCGATGCAGTCAAATGCAATTGATTCATTGTCCCTCTACACTTCCGCAATCGCTAGATCGCTGTCCGCTTGAAATATGGCTGAAGGAGGCTCGGAGAGTGTAGATATTTCACTTTCTATGGGCATAGTCCGAAAAAGAGTTCAAGGAAACTGTTTTGTGACCATTGGGGGTGCATCGATCATAAAATACCCTTCGTCGCAAAAGGAAAGTCCGCCAGACCCTAGTCAGAACGCCGCGTCGGTCGAACAAAAAAACTACAAAACAGTGGTAGTTACAACCAGTGAAGTAGTTTCTAAAGCGGATTTAACCTCCAGCACACCTTGGAGGGTAGAATTCCTACCCGACAAGTGGTATAAACGCAACACTGAAAAATTCAGCCTTGTCGGTGTCGAGTTCATGGAAATGCAGCATCTTTCTAATGAAGCGTCAAGTCTCATGTTATTTCCGACAGAATCATTGCACAAGGAAACGTGGTTTCCACAATTCATATCCGGAAATGATTGGGCATCAAATCGATCCCAATCATGCTATCAGGCACAAAGAAAAACGAAGGTAAAAGACACCAAGATCGAGCTCATTTGCCATGTCTTGGTGGCAAATGACGCGACAGGGAAGTTTCACGTCGCATGTTACGTCCTCTCTGCAGACAAACGTGGCTCGTACTATCTACACCCCCACGGCAACAAAGCTAAACTAAAAAAGTTAGACGACTTCCAGCCAACAGAGAGACCGAAAGGCTCAGTCATCCTAAACGAAGACGGATACGTCGTTGGATTTCTTGCGTTTAGTGATACTGATGAGATCCATCCATTGTTTTTACCTGATTACCTCCAAGGTATGTTATTATTAAACCACAATTTGATGACTTCCTTTTCTAGAATATTCCTTCAATTAATATGATCAACGAGGCTTAGAAGAAAACTTTTCGTGGATAGACTGAACGAAGACAAATAAATAACTTTTTAGCTTAGAAAACCAAATTATTTCAATAAATACAGGTTTCCGTCCTTGCAAAATGTTCACAGAATTTTCACTGAAAGGTTCTTTCAAAGTTCTTAAGAGTAAAAGTCATTGTTTAAAAATGTGGCGCGATTCCAAAAATTATTTTGGTTTTTAGTGGACGAATTTGCCGAGCTTGTGCATATACAGTCAAAGACTATACGGTTCTGATAAGACTACCGGGCTCGGTCTCCAGTAGACTAAATGCCTGGCAGTCAGAAAATTGGACCTGACGGAAATATGCAAAATTTGTTCAGAAATGCCAAGTTAAGATTTATTTTGTCTTTTTGAGTGGAAGAATTTTCAGAGACTGTGCATACCGTAAAATCGCTGGTTTTCCACACTTAGAAATTCTAGATGCCGTTTCCGAGCATCAGTAAGCTAAGAAAATTTGTCCACTAAAAAATCCATCACGTTAAACGTGAAATTTTTTTCAAATTCGCTTGGCATTCCGAAACAAACATCGAATGTACTCAACACGTTGATGAGAAGTTATCTGCGAGAATTTGTTAAATGTCGCGTAGCGACAACCGAGCGATTTTTCAGTATACGTAAGCTCTGAACAATTGTAAACTAAAAAAAAAACAAATATTTTATTACAATCGCTTGACATTTCTAGACAAACATCTGATACTCTTAAAAAATATGCCGTATATATATTAAAAGTACACCCACACCGTCGCGTTACGCGATCGATATACTAGTAAGTGGATTCGATTGGAAAACTTTCGCTTATTGAAAACAGTCACAGCGAAACACGTCACTTAAACAGTAATATACTTAGAAATGCTACAGCTTGTCCAGATAATTCATCCGTATCATTTTGTTTGACAAAATTAAAAGTATGATATTTTGATCATCACATAATCTTCTACTGCACAACAATAGACAACAATGGACAGTTTTTACTGCGCCGGTATCGCAGAGGTCATAGGTTCAAATCCTGCACAGGCCTGAATTTTTTTCAGGCCTTATTTTCACTACTGCTCAAGTAGTGTTCATTACCACGAAGATCGCTTTCATATTCACAATAGGCAGTTTGTTTGATATATAGCAACAAGATGATGAAAATTAAAAAAAGAGATGGAATAATACCCCCAGTCGTACAATCGGAAACTGAGTGAATGATACGAATTATATTGTTGAGGACTCGCAAAGGAGCTGAAATAAATAAATTACAGAAAACAAACCTGAAAAAAAGTGACCAACAATGGCTTCATACCTTAAATGGTTGTAGCGCTCAATTAAATATCTGGGAGGCACGGGTTCAAATCCTGACGAAGAATTACCTAAATTTGTTTTCTCAGGATCCTTTTCTGTATATGCCGCCTTAATTGCAGTTCAACTGTGGGGGTCATATCTTCAATAGTTCCCTCACTAAATTTTTAATTGCAAAAGTAATTTGTATCATCAGCAATTGATTTGCTCTTGTTACTGAGTTTCACTTCTAGCACTTTCACCTTTCATGAACAGTGCAGATCAGTTTAAAAGTTTGAAACGTAATCCAACAGAGAACAAGACGAGGTAACAAACTCTGGCATGAAATGACAGAGGTTAAGTTTCGCTAATGTTTTGTGCAATGCAAAGTTGTTTTTGCAATGGACATTTCACTTTGCAGATAACGACGTTCCAAGACAGGCCTTATCGACTGAGGCTACCCATAACCCTGAGGACCATAACCAAAACAAAACCGACAAGAATCTCATGTTACAAGTCACCATAAGAAATAGTAAGAACGTACTTAAGAATTTTAGCGAAAAGAGGTGACGTAGACCTCAGAGCACTTTTGCCAGGCTTTAACACTAAATTCTGTATCAGTTAGTATCTAGGGTTTTTATGGATGAATCAAGACTGTAACTTCCAGTTTTTGTTCTTCTTTTAACTTGGTGATACGTGGATTAACCACTTTCATCAACAGGAGTCTCTGTTGGGCTTTGTCACCTCTGTTCTCCAAAAATTATTAAAATTTTCTTCTTTTTTTTACTCTCTCAGTTCTATCCAAAATAAGCCAAATTTCAGTGACTTTTCAACGATCTTTATTCTAATTATAATTTAAAGCTTACTTGTTATCATACTTAATACTTACAATTTTCCTCAAACCTCTAAATACTGTCTGCTATTTTCTTTTAAGCTAACTCGCTTTTAAGTCTATGATTGATGTACATGGCTTCCATATAATGCACTAATTCTTACCATTTCCGATGCACTTAGAACAGATTGTTGGAAGTCAAAATGAACCACAGGAGATGTCTTACACATCACACAACAGAGATTTACTCAAGAAGTCTTTAAGTGAGCAGTTGACACCCAGGGCACGAAGGAGGCTCTTTCACTGCCAAAGTGTGTTGGAGCCGATTCCTCTCAACGAAGGTACTTAACATCCCTAAGACCAGGGCCCATTCCCTTCTGTTTATGAGTAAAAATTAAATTTCTTTCTAGGAAACTTCTCTGATGTTTTCCAAGACCAGTTATGATTTCTTTTCAAAGGAATGTAAACACAAAAGAGCGATCGTGGTATTTCCTGCTTTTAGTTGTCATTAAAATCGTTTTCAGCCATTTTCCGTGATTTTCCAAACTCAACTGACTTAGATTTCCAGGCCTGAAAAATGACATAGCAGAATTAAAAGACTTTTACAGTTTTTCATGACCCACACCAATACAGTTAAAAGTATTTCAATCTCTTGTTGGAAACTCTTCCACCTCTCAAATGTTTTGAAATTAGCTTACAGTGCAGGCGTCTTATTAGGGCAAGCAAACGCTATAAGCTCGCGATCGTTTATCCGACCGGCTATGTTTGATTTGGAATTAGAGTGGACGGTGAGGGTATGGGGCAAGGACAGGGCAATCTTCAATCCCTCAGCCCCACCCCTCCGCTGCCATTAAAATCAAAGATGACGGTCATAATTTTCGTTCAGAAAATACTGAGCACTCGCTTGCCAAAATTACGCCTGCTCTGCAGGTTATCTTGAAATGGGCCTAAGCCACTCATAGAGGTTGAAAACAGGCACCTACAACTTGTTAGGCTTGCTGATTGCTACCAACTATAAAAATTTTGATCAACTGTGGTAGATGAGGCCTTGCTTTGGAAGCACTACTCATATGTGCATGCCTTTGATGTGTTGTATGGTGAGAAGCAAAGAGTGAAGGGTGGATGTAGAGTAGAATTAACTGAAGGATGGCAATGAGACCATTTCTCTCAATGTACATGAACCAAACAAAGAAAATGCAGTGTATCTCCCATTGCTACTTTTAAGTTATTAAAATTCCTCATGGTGAGAACACAGAACAGTTGTAGTGAGAAGTGTTGTAAAATGAGAAATTAACAATTCAAAGTACACTAAGGCTGATACATAAAATGTCAAGCTGAACTCCTTACCCATTACCTTCACCTGCTACCCCACCTATCCACCATAGAAGTGTTAATTGTCTCCTCATAAACACAGGAAATGGAAGTAAATGATGATATAAGAGAAAATAATGTTTACGAGTGTCTTCAAGATGAAAAGAGGTGGCCTCTAACAAAAATATAATAAACAAACTTTACTTATCCTTAAACCTAGACTTCCCAATTACCTTATGACATTAACTTTCTTGTCTCAGAAACATTGGTTGGAAAAACCATATTAGAGGGTCACGTCTTCATAAAAGACAAACTCTCCTATTTCTTGGATACATCTTTTAAGCGTGTTCAAAACTGGAGGTACTTGGCTGAGCTTAATGGAGTTTCCACTGACCAGTCACAGGAGCGCCTCTCTAAGTCTGAAGCACTATTTGAGGTGGTAGTGTCGCGCAATCCAAACCTCTTGATTGGTGATGTGAAAGCCCTCCTAAGCAATCTGAAAATGATTGAAGTGAGGAGTTACTTAAACAGTCATGATGGTATGTTAAAAATATGTCATAGCTTAACTTCAAAAATTTGATTTTGCCACTATTCACTAAAGAATCACAAATTTCAGATCAAAAGTAGCCTGACAAAGAAAAGGCAGCTTTTAATTTCCCAAGTAACTGCATTATATAAATATTTGAAGACAATCATTGGCAAAAGCCCTTCAAAACATTTAATCAATGATAACCTTCCTTTCAGTTTCTCATAATAAAAAGGCTCAAAGTTAACTTTTTAGTGCAATAGCAAAATCTTAATGGTGAAGTTTGAAGGAATTAAAAAAAGGCAAAACAGCTGAGCCACCATCAATTTATTGACTTTCTTTTCCTTTCCTGTTCTCATTCAAGAATATGCCATCAGCTTTACTCCATATTTTCCCCACCTAACAGGGTGTCCTTCATTTACAAAAACAACAACAAAAAACCAAGGTTTTTTGCAAGGTAATAACACTGACAATTGAGATGCAAAAATATTTTCATTGGTAGATAAAATCAAGATTAAAGACTTTTTACAAAGTGAGGATCCAATCATCCTAAGTGAAGTTTTCCTCAAGCTTGACCATCAACCAGACAGCAAATGGCAAAGTTTGGGACTCAAGCTGGGTATGGAGCATGACGACCTACAGCAAATAAAGATTGATTGTGCAAATCAGAACGAAAATCCAGCCCATGGGCTAATAGAGTACATTTATCGCAGAGACCCAACAATGACCATGGCCATATTCAAGAAACATTTGACAAATATTCAAAGAAATGATGTGGAGTATAAACTGGACAGCATGAAAGGTGTGTTTGAAACGAGTAGTCATAATTGTAATATCATTCAAACCCTTTGAATATTAATAAATCTTTTCTATCATGCTTCAAGTCAGACATCATGTGTGAGAGTGTCATCAAATCTAAACATCACCCTCCCTCCCCATATACATCTTGTAAACTGTGGGAAGGCAATCCCTGAGAGCTATCCTTGGAGATATTTTTGCAAGGATGTGCTCTCCATTCCTCTAATTCTGACCAAACCATGATATTTCTCTTGTTTATCTTCACACCTTTCCTCTGAAATCCATGTGTCTTTGTTCTTTCATCCACTGCTAAGTTAAACTAGCCACTCACTTTACACATATAATCATAATTCCTCATTCTTTTATCCACTGCCTAGCCAAACGAGCCACTAGACATATGCTCCTTCAAAAGTGGACCTGTATTGTGTAATTCCTCCTTTCAACTATAGCTTCATCCCTAAACAAAGCATTTCATTGTCATAACTAGAAGCGTAGTAGTATGTTTCTGCATAAAAGAGGTCAAATAAAATCCTCCACTGACCAATAGGCCATTTCAGTTCATAGTTGTGTACTAAGTTGCCAAGCCTTTGATTTGAAGTGAGGCTGAAAGTGACCTTGTTGTGATAGAGACCAGTATCTAGTTAGCATGATAACAAAGTCATTTACATTTGAAAAGCAGCAAGGTTTGTATCATAACAAGGTAACCATTAGCCCCACTCCTGTTCAAAGGCTTGGCAACGAAGCACACAACTGTAAAATGGACTACTAGCTATGTGAGGGTAAATATTTTGTAAAGGATTTTTTTACGATAACAACCTGAATCTCACTACCAGAAATCAGCCGTGTAGACAGCGAAAAGATTTTCAAATACTAATCCCGGCGTAAAGTACCTTACAAAACGAAAAGTTTCTTCGGTTCCTTAAAGAAAAAAAAACAACAACCAAGCGAAATATTGCACGACGCCATTTACTCTCCAAGGACGACAGCACGATCATGCACGTGCGCAATGGACCTATCCGCTGACAATTTCCAGTGAGATTGCTTTGCAAGTTATGAGAATGCTGTAGTTCGCAAAATGGCCGCGTCACTCGCCAACTAATGACAGAACAGATTCCATGTTTCCATGCGTCTGCTCACGTATGGATCACAAATGACGTTAAAATGTGGTAAGAACAAAAAAGTGTCACTGATATTCTCACCACATTTTGACGTCTTTTGTGATCTATTATCATACAGACCCAAGGCAACAAAGCTATTAAGATACGACTGGTCAGTAAATAAACAATTGAACGTTTATTATTTGTTTAAAACCACGATGAACAACACTTCTTTCTGTATCAACATAGGATATATTTGTGTCATATGATAAAAAGGCAAAATGTTGTTAATCGTGACGTTCATTATGCGTTCGTCCTCCAATAGATCATAAGAGGACCAATCAAAGTACGTGTAGTATTCAGCTTATTGTATATTAATCCGTCATAGATAGTGAGTAGAGTGAGTAACCCAACAGACCCTAACAGTGTGCAGCTATAACAAATTAAAATAAAAAGAGAGCCTGTCCTCTCATCAAATTGTGAAGGACTAGCAAATTTATACTTAAAGAGTTTGGATTATTTTCTCTCGATTTCTTTGCGTGTATGATAGACATTTCGAGCTCATAATATAATTGTTAAAATACTAGACACGAGTATTGGTTCAGGAATGCCTCGGACATGTGACATTTTGATCAGAAAGTATTTTTAAAAGTCTGTTTACAATAACGCTATAATACTCTTTTTCGTTAGATACATTGACGATTAAGGATTTGTTCGATGATTTGGATTTGATGCGAGTGATAACAAGCATGCTGAATGGGCCTGATGATTCACCCATTAAGAACTACAAGTATCTAGCTAGTGAATGTCAGGTATCCAGCGATTTGTACCAGAGCCTTCAGCCACCCTGTCCAGAAAGCCCCACTGCATTAGTGCTGGAGGAGATCGTAAGTCAAAGACCAACTTTTACCATGGAGCAGCTCCTGGCGAATTTGCGCGACATGGAACGCGTAGACGCCATTCAGGGCATTTCCTCCTATTTTGTGGGTAAGAAAATAGTTTACTCAAGCGATAAACAGTATGCCTTTCTTTTCCTCTTTTTGAGATCATTGTTCGGTCTGCATGGATAATGATCTTATGGCTTTGGTAACACGTTTATAGACCACATATGCGTCAATAAGACTTGAGTCTGTGAGAGACTAGGCATAAGAATGACTACTTATTACTCTCCTGCTTGTTCAATTTTTATTAATTTATCTGTTTTCTTTACTACAGAGGAGGATATACTAGCAATGAAGAGAAAACTACGGATTGGTTATGAGTAATATGTCTCAGCCAGCCATGCAGGTATCCTGACTCTTTTGAGGTTCTGTCTAGATAGCCAAGAAAGGAATATATGGATTGGAAGTAAATTGCTATTCATAGCCTGTGTAGTTGGTAGGTTTTGGATCGACTTAGCGCTCGATAAAACCGACAAGAACGAGCGTATAAAATTGCCAGATGTGTCGTCGGCTTAAGTTTTCCACTGTGCACTTTCTAGACATGTGCTTTGGGTATTTTATTAATGTGGAGCGTTATTATCGTCAGTTGTCTATCTTGAATGAAACCCGCTTTATTTTAGAGGTGGCCAGTCATATTGAAAGAATAGAATATTTTTCCCTTAAATCTGATTGTGATTTTACACGTATTTCAAAAGAATCATTCCTTAAGCATAGGAAGGAAAAAACTAAAACAAATAAGCGATTATAAAACCTGTATATTGAACGCCCATATAATTACCGCACTGCGAGAGTATACACGAATTCAATCTCAATTCTTAAATGGCATCGTACTTGATTAAATATCACGAGATTTCAACAAAATTTATGTATCGTGATACGGTTATTTGTTGGACGAGGGTGACAGTTCAGAAGGAAAATGTGACACGAAATTTTGGCCCCGGTAGTATGTTTCTAATACACTCCAGGAGAGCTTTTAAGAGCGTTTACGGTAATTATTATTATTCCATCGTAAAGAAATCGATGGTTATTGTCACAGTTCGTACTGAAGGATGAATTGATGAATAAATGCTACATCATCCTACTTGTGTCCTAATCATGAGATACAAACTAACTCATTTTGGGCTCTCTCTTCAGTTTGTCCACCAATGGCGAGATTACTTCTTTGGTCTCGAAACGGATTGTCTCTGCATTAAATATCTGACCTGAATTGCGCATCTTTATTGGGGCCAAAAAGGAAAGATACTCCTGAACTCCTGAAAGCTTACAGACCTTTATCAACAATACCACATTCAGAGCAAATTATATTTCCCACTTGACAATCTTCGATGAAGGGAGATAAATTTTATTCCCCTAGTGACGCTCGCTATTTTTGAACTTGGATAAAATGAAAGCTTACATTTGAAACTAACTTCAAGGAGGAGAGGATGGAAGTGTTTTGCCGTTGTAACAAGTTTTCGGTCGTTAGTGTCGTCAACATTCCTCAGAGTAAATGTTTTTGACTAAAAGCTGGTTCGTCCTGTGTGCTGCCCAAAATGTTTGATGGATAATTGACACGAAAGCCTCCATTGGCGCGAAGGTATGGGCAGACAGTTGTATTTTGACATAATCTGACCCACGAGGCTCGATGTTCGCTTCTCGTGTGTGATGTCCACGTCCGAGGACAAATACCCGAGTAAACTTGCGTGCCAAATAGAGGTTTCAGTGTATTTATTTACCAGATGAATTCAAATGCTTTCAAAATACAAGGAAAGGAAGAAATTTGTTTTATTTTTGACATCCAATTATCGCACCAACTTATCTCACTCTCAAGATCTCTTGTTTTTCCATCACCCTTACGATCTTACGGACTGTTGCCTCATCCACTTCAAAACTTTTTTTTTCGCCTCATCTAGTGCTCGTTAGTTCATGCCCCCTTGTTTCCTTCTTCCAATGGCCATATTCTCTGATTGCCCAGGTTCTCAGCCTCCTCTGTAGGCGGTGTCATCTCCTCCAAAGTTATCCCTTTGAGTCTGATACTAAAATTTACGAATGTATCACCAAAAGTTACGGGTGTATTCGTGCCCCATCCTCCTAATGTGCTGCACTAATTTAAACGAAGTTTCGATGGATTTTTAATATTTATTGTCTTTTAAAAAAAAAACCCTCCACGACGCAAAACTGCGCTGGCCGATTACTGACTTATATCCTAACTGTACAATGCAAAACAGGTTCTCAATTTCAAAGCGGATCATCGAACACATCCTTAGCATTGATAAAAAATTTGAAAAATTTACAGATTCGAAGTAACATTAACTAAACGAAGAAAAATTATTTGGCGTTGACCCTATTCGATTCTTGAGGTTCAAAAATTGTCGTAGTCTAGCCGAAACTCAGTACTCATAAACATACATACAAAACTAACTCTGAGGTCAGGTAAGTTAGTATTATCAACTGAGTTTATAGCGTAGATTGGCCACCGTAAAGAGGTTCAAAGCTGACGTTTCGAGCGTTAGCCCTTCGTAGGAGGGAAGGCGAAGGCGAAGGGCTAACGCTCGAAACGTCAGCTTTGAAACTCTTAACGGTGGCCAATTTACGTTATAAACTCAGTTGATAATACTAAATTACCTTGTTATACTTTCTCACCGACGCAGCACCACAACATCTTTAAAAACTTGTCCCCCTTCACTGGAACTGATTCTATATCAATTACTCTAATATCAGGTCGACGAGAAGAAGCGAAAAATTATCACCGTTTTCCTTGGTATTTAAGTACTTCCTTTTCCGAAATATCGCTCAGATCTTAACAAGCCTTACCTGTAGCTTCTTTAAGTAACCGAAAGTAACTGCTACGTTCAATACTGAGTCATTTCTTACAAGTGAAATTTTTTAGTTGAATACCTAGTCTTTTTGAACGGAAGAATGCACTAAATTTTACAAATGTGCGTTTCCTTAACCACCAAAGAATCATTGCTTAAATAAATAACATCTAAACGTCAAAAATAAGGAAAAGAAGTAAAAAAAATAAAATGTTCGAAAGTTTGTCCAAGGGAGTTGTAACCTGGAAGTCAGTCGGAAAACGTTCTGCTGCACATAGATAGATAAGTCTGTACGATTGACGAATAGTAACGTCTGCTACGCCAAACGTAATCATGTCAGGTAATCGCACTCATGTCACGTAATCATAACCATGCCAATACCAATATGCTGTGTTGGAGGATGCCAGAGAAGCTGTGCTGATTTCAAAAGGTTCGCCTCCATCACTTACTTTTGGCGCGAATCGAATGACCTACAATCGACATTGCATGTTGGAAGAATTGTCAATTAATTGTCTATGTAGTCTCCACTACACAACAAAAAACACAGTAGTGTACACCAAATAAGTTTATTTAGGGAAGCCTGCCGAGAACCAACCCGAGGCACATATAGCCCGAGGCGCGCATACATACATTCGCAACTGATATACCATATACAATCCTGATATAAAGTCAATTCCTTACAAATTCAAAATAGGTATACATTACTAACATGCACACTTCACCAAGTCGGGATTAACAGAGGTGGGCAACCGCTTACAAGGACATTACTACGGTTATACGGAGGCCAGAAAAAACCTGCCAGAAAAAGCCCCTTCGAGGAAAAAATATGACAGGAAATCTGGGTATTCGATTCGACGTTCTGGTTATCGGAATACCAAATAACCTTAACACCAGAAAAATGACTCGCGAAAGCTTCCAAGGCGAGGCAAACAGCTTTGAGTTCTCTCCATGTGGAACTTTGGGCACGCTCTACAGGAGACCAGTTCTGATGAAATATTAAATTCGAGTTCTTTACGAAAGCACCACAAGCCGAATTGGATGCATCTGAAAAGGTGATCTTGACCGGGAGGGACTGGACTGACCAGCATACCTTGCTATTGAGGAATACCACGTTGTTCTTCCAGAAACTGATTTCTGAAAGGGAGTCGTCTGAGAGAAAAACTTCGCTTTCCCAAGAGCGCGCCGAATTCACGACCGAGAAAAGAAATCTAGTCATAATACGGGCAACGGAACCCACACAGGGAGAGAGAGAGGGAAATTATTTGACCCGTTACGCTAGCGACTCTTTTCAAGTGCACTTTCCGGAGAGGTTGACAAGACAATAGCTCAACAAGGCCAGCGTTTAACTTTTCAATGCGCTCTTCGGTTGCTTTTATAGTCCCATCAATGATGTCGAGAACTACACCCAACCAGGTGATAACTTGGACAGGCTCCCAAAGGGACTTTTCCTCATTAGGAACAAATCCAGACTTGAGCAAATCTGAATGGATGACTAAACTGTTAACTTTAGCAGAAACAAAATCTGTTCCCCCTCCTAAAACGTCGTAAAGGAAAATAGCTATAGGGATGCCCTGGCTCCTCCAAGATTTCTGTAATGGCTTCAAAATTGATGTGAAAATATACGGAGCTGAAGAGAGCCCGAAAGGGAGCACATAGAACTGAAAATATCTTGAAACCCCGTTCCCAAAATCCCACTCAAAAGCGAGAAATTTTCTGTGGTCCGGGAAAATTTCAATGTGGTGATAACCAGACTTAAGGTCAAATTTAAACAAGTAATAATTACGATCAAATAACTGGCTAGCTACGCCCAGATCTTCGCATTTAAACTTCTGCTTGTATAAAAACTGGTTGACATGTCGAAGATCCAAAATAAGCCTTTGCTTTCCCGAACTACGGATAGAAACCGAAAGTGGGTTAATGATGTTGGGCTTACAAGCAAGTTCTTCAATTAGGTCCAAACGAAGTAAATCGTTGACAGCTTGCGAAACAAAATCACTATTCTCACGAGCAGAAGCATTGTTTCTCTTAGCAAAAGGTGTGGGAAGTTGGAAGAAGGGAATTTTGTAACCCTGCATAGTGACATTCAGGACGAATTGCGAAACTTCCAAAGTACGCCAAAAATCCACAAATTTTCTAAGTCTTCCACATACAGATGAATAAGACAAATCTACTGCAAGAGAGTCTGAATCTTTGAAGGAATCTAACAGGAAAGAATCAGCACAAGCGGCAACGCTAGGATCCGAGTCAATGGCACTGCCTAATTCCGATTGCGAAGGCAAACTACTAGCTTCAATATTAACAGAGAAAAGAACTACACCTGAGTTGTGGCGGTCCTCTAGTCACTTTGTTGATGTATTTTGCTGGGCCATTGTTGGACAGGATGCGCGCCAGTGGCCAGGTTTACCACACGCAAAACATGTCCCGGGTTTGGGTCGAGGCGAAAAACCAGGCACAAGTGCGGGAATAGGCCGCGGTTGGCTTGACATGGTAGACTCTGCCGGCGCCGAAGATTTCTTCTTCTTCTTCAATGCGTTGACAAAAGTACGAGCGCGCGATTCAGCCTTGAATATCCGCTTCTCATCATCCGAGTCATCTGCCAAACTGTGCTTTATATATTTATCAACCGTAGCGCATCCGTAATCTGACTTGTCTGCCAGTAGAATGTGTTTCTGCCGCTCAGAAATTAGTGTCTCATCTTCTTCTAAGCTGGTTTTTGACCTTCTCGAGCTGTAAATTTTCGGCGGCGGATTTGGCGTCTCGCTCAGCTTCTGGTTAAAGTTGAATTGGTCCTCGTTAGCCTTTTTCTTAAATTTATGCGACTCGTTGAATTTGATGCGCTTGATCTCCTTCATCTGGCTTTCCGCCGATTCTTCGTTCGACCGTTTGATTTGGGAAACGGTCTGCTCTAAGAGGCCTTTGAAAGAAGCGAGAAGGTTGTCATTGTTAGCCTTGATTAGTGCTTCCACGTCTTCTTTCTCGATTGACATGGCGACAGCAAGAAGGAAAGACCAGAAAAAGACCAATAAATTTGTCATCAGCCAGAGGTGGACGGTTGGTTCTGAGGCCTAGATGGACGCCACGTGCTATACTCCCCCTTATATACCATTGCATCATTACCCATGATGCTCGGGCCTGAGGCCCGGGCCTTGTCGTATCTCGTGCCGACAAAATATTTATGCCTTATTCGCAGACTCAATCGTCAGAAATACCATTTTTCAATGGTTCTACTAACTCGCACTACTCTCTTGACCAACCATGCGCGGAACCTGGAAGACTTGGCCATAAGCGGCGTTTTCCCGCGCTTCTGCCGCTGGTTACGTGTATTTACTTTGAGTTCTGATTGGTTCCTTGTGATAATTTCTTTCCCTCTCATTGGCCCTTAGTGTCAAATTGGTTTACGGCACGAAATCGAAAGGCGTTTTACCGTGAAGTAAATAATACTCTTTCAGATCGAGGGGCACTCCTAAAAATTTCGTTAGATTTCAGTACGGCTTACTTCAGAAAGATCTAATGAACATTTCATAAGAAGAACAGTTAATTAAAACCTTTTGTGATCTCTTTTCCTCCGATGCCTGAGACGCCATGTAAATCGCAGCAGCCGCCACTAAAATGGGACTTCGACTAAAGGGAAATAAAAGAAAATTAAAATAATTGGTTATGGGAAAAATGGAACGATGTCATAACTGCTTTAGGGTTTGCTCAAAATAGTAGAGAATTAACGGATAAAACCTGGTTTAACCGCGCAAATAGTATATAGCTTCTTAAATGAAAGAAAAGGAAGATAATTGAATTCAATCTCGAACTCGATAAGCATTTACCTTTAAGCCCGACGAATAATCTCGAAAATTTATTTCTCATTACGATATTCTCTTCTGTCACTCGCAGACTTGTTTCGGAAATCTAAACCACGTGGTGAATGATTCTGCGCAAATAAATTATATACTTCGCTGACTTCATCATTCTGTATCATAAACGAACGTTGAGTCAGTTATAATACTGACTTACCCGGCACTAAATCCAAGTTAACCGCCCTCCGTGCGATATGTGTAGCAGCCTTTTGTACGTCAGGTGGAAGACCAAGATTGGAAGTAAACCTCGACTAGCAAAGATCACAAGCCGAGAAAAATTAATTAACTATTGACGTGAACCGTAGTTTGTTCTGTGAGTTTATTTCATTTTCAACTCCGAATATTGCATTTCCAGTGTTCTGATCGGTGCAATCAACTCCGGTTATCAGCTCATACACCGAGTCACCTGATATTGAAATGCTTTGCACCAACTGTTGCGGTGCTGAATAAAGCTTCAAACATCCAAACGTTCAAGATTTGAAAGAATTTAACAAAAAAAGTTATTCCATTCACACTTGTTGGATACGAGATTGATAACAGCCAATTTACCATCTCATCTCCAACGCGCGCTCATGAAAAAATTGTCAAATAGACAGAAGGAAAACGTTGATTGGCTGCTTAGTGAGCTCACACTAAACGGAGTGGAGGTCTATCTCATTCAACGATGAGTTAAAGAGAAAAGGAAGAGGGAAGTTTTGACAGACTGACTGTAACGCTGCTACGTCGAGGCTTATACTATTTTGCGAAACGAAACGAAATCAGGTGAGATAGAACAAAACTAAAGGAATAATGCAGATATATTTTCTAACAAGGTTAAGGAAACTTTCACAAGGAATTTATTGTAATCGTTCATTAACAAGAAGGATTTTTATTCATTTCGCAAAATAGTAATTTTAGGAGAGTTACTATTTTGCGAAATGGACTATTTTCACCCAGCGGTGACTAACGTGACCTCTTCCATGTCAACAAAAATACATTTAAACATTACAAATTAGTATATCACCGAACATTTTGGCCTCCTCTTATTTCTTAAACCGTATTAAAATGTATTTCGCAAAATAGTAATTCTAGGATAGTTACTATTTTGCGAAATGGACTATTTTCACCCTTCGGTGACTAACGTGATCTCTTCCATGTCACGAAAATACAGTTAAACCTTCCATTATAGTATATTCTAAAAGATCTCGGTCACCTCCTCTTTAATGTAATAATTTCTAAACTAATTTAATGTAGTACTGTCAGAAAAATGTTTATTTTGTGAAATGGATTATTTACACTCGGTGGGCGGTAACGATGTTGCCATTTATATAGGTAAAGATAGCTTCGATCTTTTGAGATTTGATAGTGCTTTAAATTAAAACCTACCGAAAACCTATTGTATGACACGAGAATAGCAACATCGTTACCGCTGAGGGAAATAGCCTAGCTATTCCGTCAAACAGTAATTTTTCTGACATTACTACTTTGCGAAATCAATGATATCTGGATAGTGAAAGAGGAGGTGACCGAACCCTTTTGAGAATATACTATAATGAAATGTTTAAGCGTATTTTTGTAACCCGAAAAGAAAGTTATTGAAGGGTAAAAATAGTCGATTTCGCAAAATAGTATCTCTCCAAAAATTACTATTTTGCGAAATGAATGAAAATCCTTCTTGTTAATGAACGATTACTCCAAACTCCTTGTGAAAGTTATCTTTACCTTATTAGAAAATATCTCTGCATTATTCCTTTAGTTTTGTTCTATCTCACCCGATTTCGTTTCGTTTCGTTTCGTTTCGCAAAATAGTATAAGCCCTCCGTCGATACGTGTTTCGTCTCACATATTTCTCGCAGAACGTGGATAATAATAGGATCGATATCAGTAGCTGGGAACAGACCCTTATATAAAACTACCGTACAATATTAACAAAACACCACCTTATATAACTCGCTATTGTGACATGGCGACTATTCAGAGATACAATTAAAAACCCCTGGATGTAAGATACGAATCTAAGACCCCTGGATGTAACGAAAGCATTCACGATCGATATCGACATCTGCGCGCAGACCCCTAGATGTAAGATTTTACGATCGATATAAACATCAGGACACGGGTTTGACATGGATGTGACATTGTAAGGTCAATATCAACATCTGAGCACACGATACGCACTAAATGTAAAAGTTTATGATCAACACGGACCCCTGATCGTAAGATTTTACGATCAATATCAACATCTGGGCACAGAATCGTCATGTAATACACGTTCATTTGAACCCCTGATTGTAAGAACCACTGATCGTAAGAACCCCTGATTGTAAGAACCACACAGACCTGTCATGTAAGACACGTTCATTTGAACCCCTGAATGTAAGGAACAACGATCAATATCAATAACTGGGCACAGATGTGTCATGTAAGATACACTGATGCAAACCCCTGATTGTAAGAACCCCTGATTGTAAGAACCCCTGATTGTAAGAACCCCTGATTGTAAGAACCCCTGATTGTAAGAACCCCTGATTGTAAGAACCCCTGAATATGAGACCCCTGAATGTAAGGAAAATTCACGATCGATGTCAACATCTGCGCGCCGACCCCTAGATGTAAGATTTTACGATCGCAATAAACATCTGGGTACGGGTTTAATACGAAGATGATCTTGTAAGGTCAATTTCAACATCTGAGCAGAGGATACGCACTGGATGCGAGAATTCACGATCAACACGGACCCCTGATCGTAAGATTTTACGATCAATATCAACATCTGGGCACAGACTCGTCATGTAAGACACGTTGATTTGAACCCCTGATTGTAAGAACCCCTGATCGTAAGAACCCCTGATTGTAAGAATCCCTGATTGTAAGACCCCTGATCGTAAGAACCCTTGGTTGTTAGAACCCCTGATTGTAAGACCCCTGATCGTAAGAACCCCTGGTTGTAAGAACCCCTGATTGTAAGAACCCCTGATTGTAAGACCCCTGATTGTAAGAACCATTGATTGTAAGACCCCTGATAATAATCATAATTGATTGGTCAATATCTCATTCATGGTTCTAGAATACAAAAAAATCTAACCTGTTTCTTTATGAAAGGAAAAATGTTATTTCGAGTGCAAATTCAGAGACCAACTTAGACAACAGGGTGTCCCATACCCATCCAGAATAGCTTATGAAAGGTAGAGTCAGCAATTGAATTAAAGGGCTTGTCATACCGGACCTTATCCTAGTTTCTGTAGTATGGAGTGACCTAGGGGGGGAGGGGGAGGGGAGAGGAATTTGACGAAGAAGAAAGTCCGTGGTGAAGATGAAGAGACTATTTTCTTTTCATTAGGTTTCCTTTATTAACCGCCCACACCTTTACCAAAGTTTTACTCTTGGTGCGCACGATCCTTTGAGTGGCTAGTTATCGATTTAAAACAATTTACTAGCAACTCACAGTTAGCAATTTGTTTATGGCCGCCATATTTGTGTGCGCGCAGAGACACCAAAGCGATAAATTTGATCGAAACAATGGTAAAATTTCCGCACAGCCCCATACTATTGTAGAACAAATCTTTTTTCCCAATGGCAATGTATTGTTTTTGTCATTGTTTTCTCTATCCAAGAACTGAATGCATAATGTAGGATGGGGCTGTACGGAAATTTCACCAATTCAATTATTCGAGTTACTAAGGCACGAAACCGTAAAAAAGATTGTAAGACTTAAAAATGCGGTCTATGTATCAAATTTCTGTAGCATGCCTGAATTTAATCTTATTGACAATCTGGTTTCCAATTAATTTTCCATGGCGTGACTAAGCAAACAATAAGTTACCAATTACCCCTGAGAGTATCATATATGTAGTTGTTACATATAAACGATAGGTGAGTTCAGTTTTCGGTCGAAATTACACTGAATACGAAAAAAAGGAAGCTTCCAAGTCTCCGCATCTTTAAAAAGCAAGTTTCTAACCGTAAAAACAGACAGCTGTTTTCAACAAAACGCTGATTCCAGCCAGTACACTACACAGCTCTGTAAGACATACTCGTTGTGCAGCTTGCAATGAATGCGTTACCAGAAATTGGATCCCCTGCTATGCGCAAAGGGTTCTGGTATCGCCATGGTCATCGCCATGGTCATCTCCATAGTGAAAAAAAAGTGTCACAAAGGAGTATGTGGCGAAAAGTTTTTTTGGCGTCCAAAAAAACGATTTTTAAAGAGATTTCAGCGCTTTTTTGCAGCCGTTTTATAAGAAAAAGGATTAAAGCAATGTTGATCCGTGGGCAGTGTAAGTTTTAGTTTAAATAACCATGAAATATGTGTTAAAAATCTACCGCTAAAGTTCTCACCTTGCGTGAAGTTTAACGCGAAATCGACATCTCGTAATGGTCTCGAAACATCACAAAGTTTCTTATAAATGAAAGGAAATTATCTAATAAAGTATTTCAGTTAAATTTACGTGTCTACAGCCATTTTTAACAAGCTAACGTCTTTTATCCACAAATCACGGCTTCCGGAAATTTACCTCCTCAAAGGAGAGAAGTCTTTGTCAGGGGAGATGAAAATTATTTTTACCGAGCTACTGCTCGCTGGAATGATGAAATAAGTGACGAGAAACATGAAGAAATCCGCAGGTTAAGGTGGAGGATCATGTCAAGAACAGCAAGATAACGGAAATTGGGCTGAAATTGTGGACGTCTTCAGTCGTGCATCTTTCCTCAAGCGACCCATTTGCACCTTCTCATCGTCGCAAAAAAAATGGAACACCTTTGAACCAATTATGAACACTTATTCATTTTCATCGATCACAAAAGAGAAGTGCAAGTGTCCAATCACTTCACTGTTTCATGATGAGTATGTTCAAGCAAATCATTTTCATCTCCTTCTGCTCAGAGGTAGTTGTTATAGTGCTCCTCTGCCTGAGAGTACAGCATCCCCTGTTTCAATAGATCTAGAAAACAATGGTAATTCAGATGCCAAAGCTGTTAAACAAACGTCACAAACTCATCCTTCCTTCAAACCACCTTTGATTAAAGCTACAGAATTCAAGCAGCTTGGTCACGATTTAGCTTCTTTAAATACAAAAACATTGTCTTTCTACTCTAAAACAAATGTGGAAAAGCCAATGCAATCTCCGGAAGCCATCAGTGCCAAACAAACTGTTTCGTTTAATAAATAGGCGTTGCCTCGTGTTGACAGATTTATTCGATGATAAGAATCGTGATTGACATTAATTCAATAGATTGATTTAAAAGCGTTAGATTATTGTTTTAAGTCAGTTTTTCAGCAGAATCGAAGTGAGAAAGAAGTTATTTTGTTATCGTTTTTCTGTCTCTAAATCCGCTTACCTGGAGAATCTGCTAACCCGTAAAGTGAGACTGTTGTAACGACCCGCCACAGAAGTAAGTTTATATTGAAGTTTTTTAATTTAGTTACAAGATAAAGACTTGATTTGCGTTTGTTCTAATTGCGAATTATAAATGTATTTCTTTTAGATCGAATAATTATTAAAGCTTGGATTAATATTATACGGTTTGTGGTGGTCATTTGATCTAACCAGTTCCGAGTAAGGAAACACAAACCTCCTCTGTGAAACAGCTAAATCCAGCTACAGGTACTAAGCCGTCTGCTGTCCAACAACCATCTTATTCTACCATGACCAGTTCCCAAACATCATCAGACAAAACTGCAAGTATCACTACAAAGCAACCACCTTCAAAACAAGCTATTGCTACATTTACTAATCCCAACTTTGACCAAATGGATGTGAAACAAATTAAAGTATTTATTTCTCCCCAGCGTGTTCAAGTCTTAAAGCAAATATGAACTTATTCAGCTGCCTAAAGCAGTTGCTTTTCTGGACTTTCCTGCTGACCCTGACTTTGAAAGTGAGTCCATTAATGAATGTTTTTAAGATGCCTCACACTTCCAGCTGGACAAAATTTTTTAACCCCTTCCAAATGGCATCATTGTCCAATGATTTCTCCCAGCTCCCTCCATTTGGACTAATGGACATTTTCAATCATCTAATTATGAGTAAAACTGATTATGATAAAAGCATGTTATCCTCCTGGTGCTCATTTGAAGAATATAATCTATATATGAATGGCCATGCTCAGAGCCTTGGAGTAAATGATACAAAGGACCTTAATGGCAGTATTTTTTTTTGTGTGTGTTTGTAGTTAGAGTTAAAAAACTTATAAACTTTATAAACTTTATTATAAACTTTACAAGCTCTAGTTTGTTCTGGACTCAATTGGGTCTGTGTACTCTGTATTCTGTATGTGCAAGGGTGGAGATGATCAAGGGTGCAGACATTTAGGTGCAACTTTGTTTGAACTTAATGATTCTCTTTCAAATCAAAGAAAGTCTGTCAACTCTAGGTCTGCGTATTGGAACCCCATGCCAACACCCACACACAAACCTGTCCCTATGTCTTAAATGAAAGTTTCCAAAAGCTCTTTGATAAAAAGAAAAGTAACACCATATGATGATTCCTGGATTGATTCCTTTGATTCTAGACCCATGAAAGGTTGAAAGGAAATAACTCATATAGAAAAAAAATTGATTTTGCAAAGAAAGTTAGAAAAATCGATCCTTGTTCTGGTATTCTTGATTTTTTACCATTTTCCCCAAACTATCATGAAAATGAAAATTTTTCCTCATATCTTGATAATGATATATCTCACCTGACCATATTGTCTCAAGCTAAGAATTATGTTTAGACAAATTTTTAATAAGCTATCAGAGGACAACCTTTCGAATTTTGCTGAAGAATTTCTAAAAGCCTTGACCTTTTCAGACAATGATAGAATGATTATAAACAAAGCAACCATGGGACAACACAAAAACAAAACCTGCATGAGATGAGACACCTTTTAGTTACTGCCTCTGATGATAAAGATTACGAATTTGAGTTAAGCTCACAAGAAATTGGCAAATTTGCAAGAACACAACCTCAGACAAAAGCCGCAGGAGACAGAACCGAGCTGTGAAGAGTATTCCCCACAATCCTTTACGGGTGTTGACCGTCGGATGCAAATGTATTATGGGGGTGATTCTTCACCATTGCATTGCGCACTCTGTACTACGCATAAAAATCACGCAATCAGGTGAAGAAGCACGCGCGCCTTTCGAGAACAAGTTATGGTTTTCCAATCGATAGACCTGGTGTAGAGATCCAATAGTTTTTAGCTCTTGAACGAGTAGAGTAACCTATATGTTTCATGGGATACAAATTATCGCTTTCAAATTGAAGAAATTTAAAAAATTCATTGAAGAGAAAAAAAGATACAGCTAAGAGTGTGCGCGAAGCCCGTTACTCGAGGATGCAAATTATGACCTTGAAAGCAACGACAGGAGCGTTTTGCATTGATGTCGTTTGAAATTGCGTGATTTTCCGAATCATATATCAAATTGTTCCATATTTTCGAGAATTTCTACGTATCAAGTTTTTTTTTGCAAGTGTTACTTAAAAAACCCTACCTTTCAGGTACCGCAAAATGAACCTTGAACCGATGAAATGACGCGAGTGATAAGAGCAAGTATAGGCATAAATGGGGCTAGATTTGGCCCATTGTATCTCTTAAACAAGCACGGTGACCTATCTTTTTATATTGTGTTTTTCGACACGGACTTTGATAGGTAACATTAAAGGAGAGTTTAAAAAAAATTGGTCGATAACTTTTTTTCCATGAGGCTGAAACGGAAGTGAGATGGATGGTGCTTAAAATTGTCACACAATGGCTCCGTACAGTATGTACTTCGCGATGCTAGTGATCACAAGGCCGTAAATGTAATTGTGAAGATTTATGACACAGTTATGGAGGGTGCATGGAAAAGACACTACGTTCTTACGCCATCCGTCTAGGTTACGACAACGTAGGTGAATTAGGAATGACTTTCGCTGGCAATGGGCAACAAATGAAGCTCTTTAAGACAACAACGACGTAAAAATAAAAAAAAACAACTTAAGAAGAAAATGGCTATTCTCATTGATAAGTAATTCATGTTCCTTGTTGCTTTCGTTTTTCCACACTGGCTACATGAAACATCCACATGAGAGACTTCATTTTCTGCAATTTCTTGTCCTCACCATTTGCGCCACTTTACATGACGTCATGTTGCTTTGATCGTTGATAATTTCATCATATCTGCCTCGTGACAAGCACGATGCATTCAAATGCAATTGAAATGAAATATGGCTGAAGGAGGCTCGGGAAGTGCAGATATTTCACTTTCTATGGGCATAGTCCGAGAAGAAGTTAAAAAAGACAGGTTTAAGACAATTGGGAGTGCATGTATCATAAGATATCCTTCGTCGCCAAAGAAAAGTCCGCTAGACCCGAAGGCCGCGTCGGTCGAACAAAAAGAATACGCGTGTGTGCTAGCAACAACCAGTGAAGTAGTTTCCAAAGCTGATTTAACCTCCTCCAAAAAGTTTTGGGTGCAATTCTCATCCGACAAGTTATGGTGTAAATTCAGCCTTGACAATGTTGAGTTCATGGAAATGCGTCCTTCCAATGAAGCGTCAAGTCTCACGTTATTTCCGATAAAATCATCGCTCAAGCAAACGCAGTCTTCCCGATTGATACTCGGAGATGATTGGACACCAAATCGATCCCAACCATGCTATCAGGCACAAAGTAAAACGGAGGTAAAAGACACCAAGAACGAGCTCATTTGCTATGTCTTGGCAGAAGATGTCAGCACAGGAAAGTTTCGTCCCGCGTGTTACTTCCTCTCTGTAGACGAACGTGGCTCGTACTATCTACACCCCCACGGCAACAAAGCTATAATGAAAAAGTTAGGCGACTTCCAGTCAACAGAGAAACCGAAAGGCTCGGTCATCCTAAACGAAGACAAATACGTCGTTGGGTTTTTAGCGTTCGGCGATACAAATGAGATCCATCCATTTTTTTTACCAGATTACCTCCAAGGTATGTTATTGTTAGAAGTAAACTCTAACTCAAGTCGGTTGTCTCTTTCTTTATTCACTCTTTTGCTAAACAAGTTAATACAACCGGGACATAGTCTCCTCTACTAACTATGACCGGGACTAGCTCTGATCTCTCGAGGAAAGTTTGGGTCACCGCTCATAAAGGTGACGCTTACTGAGATGTCAGTCTCTGACCTTCGTCATGCTTTTACACTTAACTAGCGAGGTACCTTCGCGATGTTTACGCTTTACAAAATGACTCTCTGCCTAAAATTTCTTAGTCTCACGGTCAAGGTCGGGCAAAAGAGAAACAAGATTGGTAATATAAAAATTATAAGGAACTTACTAACAGAATTAGAATCAAACTTGAGAAGATATCTTAAGAGAAAATAGTCCTCGAAGACTGTTACATAAAAGCAGAATAAACAGAAAATTCGGGGAAGAAAGGGTGTACCCAAGGTACCTGACAGAAATATGCAAAATTTGTTTAGAAATGCCACCTGTTCTAGAGCCGGCGACACACCTGGTGAATTTATACGCCAATCGCAGCGAAGTTGATCGCAGGCGAAAATCACAAGCGATTTTCGCCATAGATCGCTGCGGACACACTTAAGGCGGCGGAATACGAGGTAAAAAAACCCTCAACTTGTCGCGCAACATTGTTTGGTCGCAAGTTTGGTCGATGTTTCCGTTTTTCACCATGCATGATCAACTTGTCGCGCAACAAAAACATTTGTTGCAGGTTCAAGAAATTTGTTGCGAAAAGTAGAGCGCGGGTCTACTTTGAGCAACAAATTTTGTTTTTAGTTTTTCATCAAACTCACAACTTGTCACGCAACAAATTTGCTCATGTTGCGTGACAAGTTGAGGGTTTCTGTATCTCTTATTTCGCCGCCTTTAGCGATTTTTTACGGTCAGCATTAGATTCCATCCACCAAAACCACCTCGGTCGAGAGGGACTGAGATGGAATATTTAATGACTTGCAAAACATAACCGAAGATTCTCGGAAATTCTTGAGGAACAAAAAGAAACAGCATAGCAAGAATTTTAAGTTGCGAAGTATTGCTTGATGGTAGACATGCAGATAATTTAGGATACATCAATTCTGTTGATGAGGCGCATAAACTTATTGCGGAATTTGAAACAGGATTGACGACGAAGTTTTCTTTCTTTAAAGCTGTCAAAGGTTTCTGAAACACCGGTGTGTATATATATATATATATATATATATTGATATAGCTCTTTGGCATTACAAAGCTTTGCTATCGCTATTGTGCATTCTCACTAGTTTATCTAGTTCAAGTCCTCTGGCATGGCTTGGATGATACCACAATTGTGGAATCATTCAGGTTAACTTAATGCTTACACCTCCTTCCTTGGACAGAAGTCACAAAATACTCGTGGAAGAAGCATGAGATATTTAAGGAGCAAAAATTCGTTTTTTACTGGTGTGCCTTTCCTAATTTTGGGAAGGAAAGTGTTCAATTGCCAGCACGGCATATATAGAACAGCTGGAGAGAAAACGAAACGAAAAGATGCAGAAGAAGTACTGTATATAATAATTTCTTTTTATCCTCAACCTTTGTGTTACTGTCAACTATGGCTTGCTAATTCGAAAGGTCAAATACATGAATGGGTCATATGACATTGATCTCTGAATACTTTAATGACAAACGTGATAACAGTTCAATCTTGGCTAAATTGAAGATGGTTTAGAAGTTAACAATTATAAGAACTTTTCACTAACATATGCTGCTGACAAAGGAGAAAATATATGCAATTCTGCATTTTTTGCTTTCTATCAAGCAATCATATGTTGGCTCCTTATCACGCTATGACACTTCCGTTTTGTCACATTCCAAAAAATAACTTGAGAAATACACTGTCACTCATCTTACACTGTTATATTTACCTATTACAGAAGGCCGGAAACAAAGATTTTGTTTTCAAGAAAATAAGATTTCTTGTCCAAGACACAAGGAAGATTGACTGCAAAGCACAGATAAAAATGTGAGAAATTTAATTTTTTTCAGAGAACAAGGTAGTTCTACTCATGTATAAACAGAACAAATCCGGTTTAATAAATCAGACATGCAGCATGACTCCTTTTCTTCCATCTCCACTCAAAACAAGCAAACACACCTATAGAGGTTCCAGTCTGGTCTGCAAATGAAAAGGAGGAAAGTGATCACTGCAAAATTAAACATTAGGGTTCTTATTTATAACATATTGATTATTGTATACTGATATCAAGAAATTAAGGTTGCAAGTAGCAGCCAGCAGACGGAGTTATAGTTTGAGTTTTATCAAGTCCATTACTTTGTTAAATTTAGAGTAACCTTGTCTTGAGAGAGGGAAATTGAGGAGCTGTAATATTCTTATCATCAATTAGGGACCACAAAGAAAAATTTATTATAGAGACTTTTCAAGGAGAGGGGTAAGACTTGTGACAAGCTGGCAGACATATAGATAAACTTTACTGCTAAATGGGTTACAATATAAAGTACTCAGTATTTGGATCAGCTATGGCTCAACTTAAACTTTGCTTTAGCTTCAATTTAATCATTTGTGGTTTCCTTTCACTGTGTTTATTTTTCAAGTTATGTTACACAGAAGAACAAAAAAATGACAAGGAATGCTTTTGAATATTAAGAGGCTGGAATAAGCTAGAAACCAAAACTGAATTTTAAACAGTACAAAGTTAATTTGATCTTCCAATGTTATTAAATTTTAACCATTAATAGAATTTGCTATTTAAATTTATCCCCTCCATTTTTCTGGATATTGTGAGCAAAAACAAACAATTATCACAAAATGCGTGGTATACAATGGTTTGATTCACCAATGTGGCAAAGGCCTTTCACTGTCTATCCATAAAAAGGGAAATAATTTGTAAAATGTAAGACATTCTGCATCTTGAGTGTATACTTATTCATCCATGTGAAATTAAAGGTTACTTGAAATAAATGTGAAAGATTTATAGGATTTTCAGACCCCTGATAACAATTACTGATGTGCTGATTTGTTGTACTTAAAGGTTATGATTTTAGCGGAAATAGTGGGAGAAATTTCTGGACCTGGAATTTTGATGCAAATGTCTGTTTAAGTCAGTTTAAGTCAGTTAAAAACTCTCCTGTTTCAAGATTACATGATTGCCACACCAGAACCTTTTGTATTCTATATTGTGCACCATGTTATGATTACGGTTTCAATAATAAAAGGTGCTGACTCAAGAACTTTGCAAAATATCTCTACATACAAAGAAATAGATTGTGGTTATGTACTCCAAATAGCAGGTCGCATCAGTCTTCTGTAAGGAAGTAGCAGAAATTGCTATGGTGGTTTTGGTGGATGGAGAGAAACATCCACCAAAACCACTTTATTCTATGTGTTATGAGTTATGATAATCATTATGAACGTTTGGTCGGTCAGCAATTGTGCACCATAAAAAAAATTAGCCAGAGCACTAACTGCTAATTAGTGGTATAAATCTTTTGTCTCCCTGAACATCTAACAGTGGCTATAGATAAAATTTAAAAAATATATTGTTGATGGTTTTGGTCAAAGTTTTGGTGGATGTTCCCTAATGACATCCACCAAAACTACGTAACATCTGGGCACCTTCTAAACACGTGAAATATCTGCATAAAATTGCGTAAAATGTTTTATAATACTACAATCGAACAATAAATTAATACTTACCATTTCTTGAGTAAAAAGTTTTGACGCAATTTCCCAAACAAATAATACACTTAGGTCATCGGGATAAGTCGGGATGTTGTCGTAGCTTCGTAATTTTCATTTAGTATAACAAGTCATGAGTTGTCCATCATTCCATCCCAGTCCCTCTCGACCAAGGTGGTTTTGGTGGATGGAATCTAATGCTGACCATTTTTTACGCCGATCGCGACAATGTGGCACTTCAGTCTTGATCCCAGGTTCCATTGAGTGACGTATAAAAATTGCGCGAACCAATGTAAACAAACAAGCGAAAAAAATTGTTGGCTGCTGCCATAATTTTGCAAATAAAGCGCGCCAGGAAGCGCACTGAAAAGTGGGACAAGAGAAAAATATGGTCGAAAACATGTGTTTATTGAAACGCAGAGTCCTTCTTGAGACGATTTCTGTAGTCACTCGACGTCACATGAGATAAGCATAGCTTTTCTGACCTCAGTGCGATCAAATTTATTTATTTTTGAATAGTCATGTGATAATATAACCCTACTTCATCGGTTAATTTTACTGGCGACTCGCATTGGAAAGAGGAGAAAATCGCGGGACCGGACAGACTTGGTGAATACCGCGTTGCGCGATCGATATACTAGTAATTGGATTCGATTGGAAAACTTTCGCTTATTGAAAACAGTAACATGGAAACACGCCACTTAAACAGTAATGTACTTTTAAAAGCTACAGCTTGTCCAGATAGTTCATCCGTATCGGTTTGGGTGTCAAATTAAAAGTACTGTATTTTGATCAATCACATAATCTTCTACTGCACACCAATAGACTGTTTTATGCAAACAAGAAAGTTTATGTATAACAACAAGATGATGAAAATTAAAAAAAGAGCCGCATGGAATAATACCTCCAGTCTTACAATCGTAAACTGAGTGAATGATATGAATTATATTGTCGAGGACATGATCACCGCAAGGAAGCTGAAATAAATAAATTACAGAAAACAAAAAATGAACCTGAAAAAAGTGACCAACAATGGCTTCATACCTCAAATGTTTGTAGCGCACAATTAAATATGTGGGAGGCTCGGGTTCGAATCACGTCGAAGCCTAAATTTGTTTTCTCAGGATCCTTTACTGTAACTGCTGCTTTAATTGCAATTCAGTTGTGCTGGTCGTATCTTGAGTAGTTCACTAACTAGAAAAAACTTTACTGCAAAAGTAATTTTTATCATCAGCTGTTGATTTGCTCTTGTTGCTGAGTTTCACATCCAGCACTTCCACCTCTCACGAACAGAACAGATCAGTTTAAAAGTTTGAAACGTAATCCAACAGAGAACAAGACGAGGTGACAAACTCTAGCATGAAATGACAGAGGTTAAATTTTGCTAATGTTTTGTGCAATGTAAAGCTATTTTTGCAATGGACATTTAACTTTGCAGATAACAACGTTCCAAGACAGGCCTTATCGACTGAGGCTACCCGTAACCCTGGGGACCATAACCAAAACAAGACCGACGAGAATCTCATGTTAGAAGTCACCATAAGAAATAGTAAGAACGTACTTAGGCATTTTAGCGAAAAGAGGTGACGCAGACCTAAGAGCATTTTTCTCAGGTTTTGAGACTAAAGCCTGTATCAGTTAGTATCTTGGATTTTTATGAATTAATCAAGATTTTAACCTCCAGTTTTATTTCTTCTTTTAACTTGGTGATACATGGATTGACCACTTTCATCAACAGGAGTCTCTGTTGGGCTTTGTCATCTCTGTTTTCCAAAAATTATTCAAATTTTCTTCTTTTTTTTTTCTGGCTCTATCAGTTCCATCCAAAAAAGGAAAGTTTTAGTGTCTTTTCAACGATCTTTATTCTAATTCTAATTTAAAGCTTACTTGTTATCATATTTCATACTTACAATTTTCCTCAAGCCTCTAAATACTGTCCCCTATTTTCTCTTAAGTTAAATAACTTTTGAGTCTCTGAATGATGTACATGGCTTCCACATAATGCCCTTATTCTCTTACCATTTTCAGTGCACTTAGAACAAATGGTTGGAAATCAAAATGAACCACAGGAGATGTCTTACACATCATACAACAGAGATTTACTCCAGAGTTCTTCAAGTGAGCATTTGACACCCAGGGCACGAAGGAGGCTCTCTAACAGCCAAAGTGTGTTGGAGCCAATTCCTCTCGATGAAGGTACTTAACATCCCTAAGACCAGGGCCCATACCCTTCTGTCCATGAGTAAAAATTAAATTTCTTTTCAAAAAGTATATTTCCTATTCAGAGGTAACTTTGTAATATCTTCTTTTCTGTTTTGGATTTAAGACTTAGTCTGGTGATCTTAACACTTTCAATCAAAAAACCCAATCTTCTTTCTTATTTGTGACTGCTTTACATTTCTTTTCATGCAATCTAGACTTTCCTTTTCCCACGACAGTTACGGATCCCACCCCCTTTGAGCACAAACCAACTCTTCAAGAAAGACACAGCAATTCCCAACATGGGATGGATAGAACTGTAACAATGCAAACTGGTGAGGTCTCCACAAAGATGAAACATGTCAATGCAGGTAATTTACAATTTCTGACCAGCCTTCAGACATGAAGTCCACTTTGCAGCCATTCTTTAGGAAGCTCCTACATGGAGTTAAGCATAACATGGAAAACCCAAAGAATGGCTGTATATTAGACTATCAGAAATGGATAAAAATCCTTTTTGTGGTTACTGGCATCTGAAAAGCCTGTAACCATCATACTATTAGGTGTGTTAGTTAGTTAAATAGAGATTTCTGAGAAACGTTTAGAGCAGTCTCATGAGAAAGACCAAAAAAGTTTGTTTGATTGATTTTCACAATAAACACACAAATTTTGATTAAATGCTTCCCTCCATTTATACTTAGTATGTACAGTTGCATAAATACTACATTCCAAAGTAACAAAACTTTGAGGTGACATTGGATATTGCTCATGTGGTACTAAAGCTATGAAAACAGTAAAAGCCTTAATATTGGCTGATAAATCTAATCATTTCTTGTAAACAACAGCTGGCGGATCAAACATTAATTGAAACACTCTCACAGACAAGAATATTTTCTGTGACTATATTTAGAAATAAGTGATTCAACTTAAACCATTCACTGCTTCACATCTTTATAATTTCTCTCAGTAAGAAAAACTTGCAGCCTCAAATAAAGAAACACTTTAATTGCACCTTCAAAATGTTTAAAGTTTTGCACATGGAAATTTGATACACACAGGTGAACATTAATTACTGTTTTTTAGACTGCTTGACGAAGGCATTTATTATCCTGACTGGCATTACTAATAGATCTCTCAAGACTTTTCAGGAGCTCTTGAGCAACCTCACAAAGTGAAACTCAAAATACATCAAGATTTCTAGAGTCTTTTTAAAGGACTTTATAAGCAAAATGCTTTGATTAAGAGAAAATTAATACTGTTTGATTCAATGCCACATTTTAGAAAAAAAGATTTGAAGTTAGCACCAACATTCCAACTCAAATTTCCCTGTCCTACATGTCCTTCCCGGGTACCTTTGTTTTGTTTTGTCTTGTTTTGTTATGTTTTTCTTGTTCCTTTCTTTGCTTTTTCCTGAATTGAAGGTAAGAATATCCTTAATTTTTCTAAATGTCATCTTCAGGTTCATATGTAGAAGAATTAATCCTCAGAAAGGAACTCATCATGGATCTGCTTTCCCTCTATTTGGATAGATCAATCTATCCAAAGTTCAGAGGTGCCCCATCATTGGTACAACATTGGGAACATCTTGCAGACTACTGTGGAGTAGATGCTAAAATCAAAAAGCAGTGTAGGAACTCTGCTCATCTGAGCCCAAGTGAAGCTATGTTTAAACACTTGTGCCAATCTTGGGAGTCAATTGACGTTGGAACCCTGAAACAGAACCTCCTGGAAATTAAAAGGAAAGATGTTTATGATGAGCTTGCAAACAGTCAGGATTTGCTTGGTACAAACAACATAACTTCTTGCACACTTAATACACAATGACCATGCACTGTACTCTTTGAATTAACCAAACATTCTAGTACTGTTTATTTTGCATGAGAGCAAGACTGTAGTGACAGAAGCTGTTGCATCTCTTTCTTGTCCTCTGTTTGATGCCAAAATGGGAAATCTTTGTAATGATTTTCACAATTATTTTCCAGATGATGACAGTATGAATGACCTTTGTAATAAACACCCGGAAACATTGTGGAACATTTGTTTACACCTTGATGACAATCGTTCTGTCCAGTATTGGTATCACTTAGGACTCAAGATAGGTATTGGTGGTGAGATACTGCGGAGCTTTAAAGGTCCCTATGAATTTAGCCCAAGCAAGGCAATCTTAGAGACGATTGAGACACTGAAACCAGAGCTTTCATTAATGGAGGTGCAAATGGTTTTGCTTGAGGTGGAAAAGTGGTTGCCAGGCATATGCAATGTGCTGAACAATTTGCTGGGTAATTTAGGATGGAATTTCAATATAATTCTCACTTAATAATATAGTAGATATTTTTCCTACAGGGGAGTGTCATCATTTGTTAAGACAACTAATTCATTCGATTCCTACTTCTGTTTTTGAATTTGTTCAGTTGATGGGTACATAAAACTTGTGTTAAGTTCTCTTTGAATTAGTATGAATCTCTCCTTTGCTAACAATACAAGAGAGAAAAATTGAGAACATAAACAGTTATAGCAGATGGACATTCTGATGTGCTCAGAATTCAAATTAATAAATTGAGTTGATTGCATAGGGTTTAAAAAGCAGAGCAGATGGTATAACTAGGTACATGCAGAAAATAAGCCATGGTTCAAAGAAATACTTTATCTTGGCGGGCATTAACACATTCTGAACAAGTGAAGGACTATATCTACATGTAGCTTTTTAACTAACGTGATTGTTTGCCAAATTTTAAGAAGCTCCTTAGTTCCTCAGACTAGTACAGTACTTTGTATGCAAGCTATGAATAAGAGAAATAATAATGATTGTGAACAATTATAAGAAAATCAATCATGTGAACTGCAGGTTAGGAAATTAAATAGGAAAGTGACCTTTGCAGTAATGAACACTACTACAAGCAGTATTGAAAATAAGGCCTGAATTTTTTCAGGCCTTATTTAGTTAGTGAGTGCCAAAATGATTCAATTTAGCACTTGAGGTGCTTATTTACTTTTGCTTCCTCAAGAGAGTATTCTTGTAGATCCACATGCTTGATTTACAACAAATAATTTAATTTTATCTTTGCTTCAGCTGCAGATTCAAGTAGTACTATCCAGACCTTGCTGGATGACTTAGATGCTGTTGAGAAACTAACAACTCTCCTAGATCTTGAAGAAAAAGCCTGGATGCTCTTTGGTTCCAAGCTGGGGATGAAAAGACAAGAGTTAAACAGTCTAAGGGAAGAAAGTCCACCAAGCCCTACAAAATTGCTGATGAAACACATTGTTGCTCGGGAACCAGAACTCACCATGAAGTTTTTCTTGGGAGCCCTGGCTAACATCAAACGCTTCGATGTCATAAAAGAGCTTAAAAAATTCTTTGTTGGTAAGAATATACTAGTTAACTTTAGGATTAACCATAATTCATGCTTAAAATGACAATTTACATCAAACTTATGGTTGATTAGGCAAAATCCCAACTCAGCCTTAGCAATTGGGGCATGCAATCAACAGTTCCTAAACAAAACTTGATCAATTTACAACCATCAAAATAAGGAGAGAGGTCACTATGACTGAATCAGATCTGCAGAAGTGGTTATTGTCAAAGATTGTTTTTTTTAAAATAACATACATTTAGGGGCAGCTGAAAATGGCAAGAAAATAGAAAGAATTCACCATGTATCTGATCTTGTATCAAATCTTACATTTTTTTTTTCATATTTCAGCCAAAGATATAGATGACCTGTTAAAAGGGTGAAGAAAACTTCACACAACAAGATAACATCCCTCTCCTTTATCTGCTTTAATTTAAATCAAGACAGAAAGGTAATCTGACTCGGTTTGTCTATGGCAGTTGACAAATTGACTCATTGAAAGTCGAATTGTGTGTTACCATACCAGAAGTCAAGGGGCATGAGCAAGTGAGAAAATGACAACATGAACAAATCAACTCAGCAGAAGTTGAATTGTGCATCAACGTACTGGAAGTCATCTGTTGTTCAGGGGACCATTGTAATCATAATGATTGCACGTGAAATAGTATGTGTAGCTGGCAGTTTTGTAGATGCTTGGAAGCCCTGACTAGCAATGAGCCATAAGAAACTTGGGTTAGAAAATTGGAGGTGTTTGAAGGGGTGGTACTCAAAATTAAATCCACCAAGATATATCCTTTTTTCTGGCTAAGCCACACATATTTTCATCTAGACACCAATAAAAGCACTTGATAAGGACATCATATCGAAAGTAACCTAGGACACCCAATCTTTTGAGTGTCTGCCTTGTCACCTAACCATTTGGACTGCATTTTAGTGAAGTCATTAATACATTCATGGGACTGCTTCATAGTTGCAGTTAGTTTCAAATTGTCATTATGAGTCCAAAGAAACCCAATGTGGGTTTGCAAATTAGGATAACAATTAACAATGTTGTACTAATGGACTACAAATCAAATTGAAATCAAACTAAATTAAGTTATTTTGAAGACAGGTTGGATGCTTGTATCACAACTGAATTTGGCAACCTCTATAACCTCCTTGGCTCATAAGTTCTCTGCAGTTCCCATAGGTATTTGTTTGTATGACATAAAAAACCTCTAATTGCATTAACAGTCCTTATGGAGTTTTTTTTTTTTTGGTAAAAATAAAACTCTGTGTTGGTGTATTAAGTGGTAACTCGCTCACTCCAGGCAGATAGCTGCAATAGGGCATGTATCTCACACTAATCAGAATGTTGCATGAGGGTATTTATTTCCCACCAATCAGAGCACAGCATTGAAGTATGATTGCACCAATCAGTGTATTGTTTCATGCCAATCATGTCATGAAATTAGGGCACCATGTTGCCATCAAATTAACCCAACATTGATACACACCAAGAGTGACATTTTAACAAAGAATTGTGAGCTCATCTACCCAGTGCTCACGTCTCTCTGACCCTCATGATGACTTTGTCACTATGATCTGTTGGGGTTAGAAACCTCATCAGGGAATTTTTCTACCATTTAAAATGTGTTTTCTGTACAGTTTCTTTGCTTACAATACACATGCCATCAGCTAAAGGCCTAACACTGGATCATTTTTTTGGAAGGGCCAGTTTTGCTGACTCAGGTAAAAACTGCCATGTTAAACTGCTTTGAAAAGTTTTTCATGAATTACATCTTGTTTTTCATATAGTATTTTCCTGAAAAAAAAATAGTTGTTTACTTGATAAAACTACTTGACTTTCTCAGAAGAATGCAATTTTCCAGTAAATAACCTAAATTTTACGACATAATCCTTCCCCACCACAAAAATTTCACTTGGGAGTAAATGCTACTGTAAGTTAATTTTCCATGCAGTTCTCATGTGCTTAGATGTTTTCTATCAATCAAATTTGCTGTTAGCTACCTTGGTTGTCACCCCATCACATGTCAATTCCATGTAAACAACCTGCATTTTATCACATATTCCACACCCAAAGTAGCCAACAACCAAATAGCCAGCAACCAAATAGCCAGCAACTAAATAAGGAGCCCACATGAAAGCCTCTCAAATATAATACTTTCTTCTTCTTTGTTTAATTTATTTTCACTTGTTTGAGGAACTGAGACCACAAAACATTTTCAGGCAGAGGCTTTAGGAGATGAAAAAACCTTCTTGGTTTGCCTTCCACAGCATAACTATGTAGAAGAAAATTTTTAAGGCAACTAGCTGTAACTGAATAATATTGATTCTGTCTCTGATGAAGAAACGGTATTATGCAAAGTAGCCTGTGAGGAGGCCTTTGTCTAGACTTGTCACGCAAAAGGGGAAGAGAGTGTGTTGTGTGACAAGACCAAACAATGGCTGTGAAGAAGACTACAGGAAGCCTAGCACCAATAGCAATACCATAAAATACCTGTGCCTAAGTTTATTTCAGATAAACTGGATGGGTTTTTTTCACTCTCTATTGAACAATATTTTCTTTGGAATTAAAGAAATGCTCTTTTTCTTTTATGAAAATGCAAACGCCATTTACTTGGTGTCTCATTTCAAACTACCCATCCAAAAAGATAATTCTGGCATACGTAGCATGCCTATGTTTAATTTAAGAAATAAACATTCGTCTTTACGACAATGCAATGTTCCTCTTTCCTTGGTAATTATTTATTATGGTGCTCTTCCTCTTTGATTCCACTTTAAAAGCGCATAACCGTTTGCTGAGGTGCTACAGTCATGACAAACACCTTAACAAGAAGGTAACCGACTTTTCGTATGATCCCAATTACATTTAGGGAATCTGATGCAGGGTACGGAAAGATTTGCGGGTAACACCGTACTTTACCAAAACAAAGCAGTACAGCTAAAGGTCAACTATCATTGTTGCTATAATTGCTTTCGCTTAACAAACAACTGTATGCATGATGAAGTATGAGGTTCCACTGAAATCTTGCCATAGAATTTTCGAAAGAGTCCTCAACTGGTGGTTAGCATGCAACTAATAGATTTTATTTACACTAATTTCATGTAAGTTTACCACCAATGACCTAACGCGTGTTGCATACCTTTGGTAGCATTTGAAGTTAACGATGTCAACCAGTCAACAATTAATGGATGTTCGATAATGAGAGTTCTATCCGACTCTTCATCCCAGTAATCAAAAGCCATTTCGATTTGTAGAGAAATGTAATGAAACGAAGCGAGTCAGATAGAAGCGAAGAGGGCATGATTCTCGGCTCTTCTGACGCTACATTTGTTCTGTTGAGGTCTGGGTTCTACATCTGCGCACAAGAAACCGTTGGCAAGGTAGAAATGGTGCTCGCTAGTAAGTGGAGACAAGAATAGTCAGAATATCAATTTATTATGATTGATATTTTCTTAGTAGAAAGAAAGAAAATATATATATATTATTTTTATATAATATATTTCCTGCTCCGTGGAGTTTTCTGTATTGGTCGGAAGCACCAGCAACAGTCTGGGGTGAAGTTGTGGGCTATATATATGTAAAAAAAAAAACGACATGATGATGTCAATGAAGTCAAGTACCATCACACTCAAAATTCCAGTCCACACTCTGTCACGATAATAACTTTGATGATTTCCGTGTCTTTTGATCATCCTTTTTCCCTTAATGAAAATCGTCATGTGAATCGTGAACAGTTAGACGAGGGCGGCAAAGGGTTGGGCGAACGATGCCAAAACTGCTTTAGGGTTTGCTCAAATAAAGACTGAGATTACTGGAGAGCTTGGCTGAATATCTGGGGCTCAAAGAGGATAACTGGGATAACAAATTGTAAAATCACCGCACAATGATCTGCTCGACCGGGATAAGTATGAAAACTGGGCAAGATAAATTTATCAACATACCTGATGTCTATATTCAAAAGATTTCCCCAAACAGCTTATCGGTGAGATATTCTTGACAGGACACACAAGTGAAGAAAAATACCACCAATAATCAAACAAGGAACAGAACAAGTTTAAACAAATGGTATCCTGTAAAAAAAATGAGTAGTTGGAATTGCTTGTGCATATTAAAAGACCATCTCTTTTGTACTGTAGTTTACAGATTTCTTACAAGCTTAAAGCGAATTTTTTGTTGTATTTTACCTACCACCTTCCAAGATTTTAATTAATCGAAGTCATCCAATATACGTGATTTATATTTTCATGTAATTTAGTCTACAATTTTTTTTATTATATCATATCAAAGCAGCGAAGCCAAGAGGATGCAGCAAGAATCGGCTCAAGTGTCGTTCATCATTATACCCGTGCACAGATTTGATGGCAGAAATGCATTTGTGAAGAAATAAATCCCTTTCAGTCTGGAAAAGAAACGTCCCATGCCCTCCAGGTCTCAAAGTGAAAAAAGATCTTGGAGTCTTCCATTGCAAGTAGAAGGGTGCTGTGCCATGTTCTTTTCGACTTTGGCAGAGGAGATGGCTACTATAACACCGAGCCATACTGCCTTGAGTTTCTTGATGAAACCAACGATTTCATCCTCACTATAGTAACTGACCGTGATGGCGTAGCAGTTGAGAGTCACAAGATCTCCACAGAGAACAGAAACCATAGGGAGTTGTCCTTATGAACGAAGAAGGTGAGTTCGTGGGAATGGCTGTAGGAACCTCACGGCAAAAGAAATTGTATCCCTTGTTCCTGCCGACGTTGGCTCAAGAAATCAGTCTAATGAGTAAATTTGCAGTAGATGGGCCACAATAACTGGGGTGGGGGATACTGAGTTGAATGTATTAGGGAAAACTGGAGAATATTTTTCACAATTGACCTAAGCAACCAAATGCATTAACTAAATAACGGTTACCGAAAAAAATTAATCGTGATTTTTAATCCTGTTTCTCAAGACGAAAGTAAAGTCATTCATTCATTTCATTTATTTTTATTTAAACACGGTCAATTCATCAGCCTAAAAAATACATATCACATACGCTAGAATATTTAAAACTCAAACTATATACTATAATACTAAAAGCTGTTTTCCGTGAGTGCCGTGCGTTAGACTTAAAGAATGTCATTGATCTTACGTTTAAATACCCCCAGAGACTCTGCGTTCCTTATATCGCATGGTAGACTGTTCCATAATGTGGCGCCATTGTAGCTAAAACTTTTTCGGTAATAATAAGTGGGCGGTAAGGGAACATTGAGCTTATTTTCAGAGTCCCTGAGGTCATAAGCAGAGTCACGCCACGTAAACTTTGAAGACAGATACTCTGGAGCTAGCCCGTGCAGACATCTAAACATCATGGTGGCTTTGTGAATTTCCTGCTGGCGTGTAAGATTTTTCCACCTTAAAAACTCGAGTAGCTCAGTTGCATCAGCATCATAGTTAGAGAATGTCAACACACGTGCTGCTCTATTCTGCAATTTCTGCAGTTTGTCTTGTAGCGTTTTCCCACAGTTACCCCAAACAATGTCACAGTAATCAAAGTGAGGTTTTACTAAGGCTTGATAAACGAGATGTAAGGTTGATGCTGGGATCAGGTGCCTAATTCGCTTTAGGGCCCCGATACCATAGGCGATCTTTTTGGTTAATTTTTCGATGTGACTCTGCCAATCAAGTTTATCGTCTATTATTACACCAAGCGATTTCGTAGCTGTAACCTGGCTCACTTGAGTATTGTTCATTGTAATTGTTGGTGAAGCTGTGAGAGTATTCAGTCTCTGCCTCGACCCTATTAGCATGAATTCGGTTTTGGTCATGTTCAATGTAAGTTTGTTTGCTTGTAGCCAGTTGAAAACGTTTGCTAGGTCTTCATTTAGACAAAACTGAACATTCTCAAGATTACTGCCCGCATATGTAAGGTGCGTGTCGTCAGCGTACATTCTTGGTTTACAATTTGATAAGCAATTTGGAAGATTGTTAATATATAATAAGAACAATAATGGACCGAGGATGGTCCCTTGAGGGACGCCGCATGTCAGTGAGTAGCTATTGGAAAGCGACCCGTTCACAGAGCATTTTTGTGTGCGGTTTTCTAGATATGACTGAAACCATTTGAAAGATTTGCCATGTATACCATAATAGTTTAGTTTCGATAGAAGAATCTGATGATCAACAGTGTCAAAAGCTTTCTTCAAATCCAGAAAAATCACTCCATTGATTTTCCCGTTATCAATATCATATGCCCAAGAATCTGTCGCTTCCAACAAAGCTGTTAGTTGAATGATTAGCACGAAGACCTGACTGGTTTTGACATAGAATATCGTGCTCTTTCAAATAGGCATATAACTGTTCATAAACTATCTTTTCAAACGCTTTCGCCACTATTGGAATCACCGATATTGGGCGGTAATTGTTTACATCACCGCGGTCACCCTGTTTATAAAGAAGGGAAACCCTTGCATATTTCCAGTCATCTGGGAACGTCCCTTGGTTAATAGATTGATTGAAAATATCACATGTACACAAATAAGATCAGCACATTCCGACTGTTATGAAAAGCACTCAGAACCATTATATAGCATATGCATGAAACTTGACGACAAGCGGAGCATAAAGAATTGGTACCATTTTGGAATTGAAATCATATCGAGGCAGGCACACTGAGAAGATTGAGAGACCCCTCTGGAGACAGTCCAAGTGAGTTTGTCCTGCAAATGATCCAAACAAGAAAACCGCGTCTTCCGTCGAAGAAACTGGTTGAATTTATCAACTTACCAGGCGTAACTAAGAGGGTCTGAATGGGGTTTAGTGTTTAGTGTTATTTGTCCATATTTTTTAGTGTTTACTGTTAAATTGGCAATTTTTTTAATGTTTACTGTTCTTGAAAAAAATACTGTTTAGTGTTTGAAAAGAGACCCCAAAGTTTTTTTTAAGGATTTTCAAATTCTATCTGCTCTTTTAAATTCTGCAAGAAAATCAAGAAAATCACTCGCGAACAGTGAGCCAAAGCTGAAATGCTTTTGTCCTTAGAACCGATAATGCACCTTACTAGACCCTCAGTACTGGATGTACTTAAGGAACTACGTTCTTACGTAATCCACACAATAGTTTCTGAAAAGTATCGCTTCTGGAAATCCAACCAAAGTAGTGTTTGCAAAAGACCAATTGCACTTGAAATTGGGCCCCAAGGCAAAGTACTGGCGTTGGACTACGATTTCGACTCTCGATAGTCTCGTAGAACTGCTTTTACACCGACCAGTCGATGTAAATGTTCGGAGGGAAGTATTCAAAGATGCGCGGGACCTATGCTTTACCAATTGCGTAGTCTTCGTTGCAGAGAGAGGCTCATCAGCAATCCGTTTCCTTGAATTGAAAGGCGAAGTACTTTTCAAACCCGGACGCCTAAAATCGCGAGCTGATTTGCTCTCGCAGCTTAGTCGTTCAGATTGCCACTTGAGGGTACAGGTCCAGTTCTACAGAAGCGGTTGACGACACATCTGAGATCTTTCGCTGCACAAGTCGAGACCTGAATAAACACGATTTTTAAATAAATCAGCTTCCATCTGTGCGGCAAGTAAGGATATCCTCTTGTGTGCAGATGATGAG